TTGTTCGGAACATTGTCCTTCGTCGGCAGTTTTTCTTTTGTCCGACGATCCTCGTTTCGAAGTGCCGTCGAGATTTTCTTTTTCCCCTTTTTCCGTCCGTCGACGGACGGACTCGTCAAACGAGACGCCGAAAGAATCGAATTCTTCGCGTTCTTAATCGATTCTCGTTAACTCTAATCGTACCACCTGGTTTTAGAAACGAAGATGCGAAACGATGCGACTCTCAGTCACTGACGAGGATAAAAGGAATGATTACAATTTATTAAAATGCTTTCGTTTATAGGGCCGACATTTTAGAAGCACAAAGAAACTTTTGGGAACGCGATATGAAATGATCGAAGAATTTATGTGAAAGTTCGAGTGTCACTCGAAGTCACATTTTAGTCCGATTAGGGTTGATTTTGATTATAAAACGAGTCTTAGGTGAATCTCGAAGAACAGTAAAACTTCGAATGTTAATTCTTTTTAATTTCTATACTCTATGAGAATTCTTTTCAGTTTCCATACTCTATCAGAATTAATTTATTCTTTTGCATCGAAATTACTAACGAGTAGTACAGTCACATGCGATTCTATTTTCTTAAACTTAACCCATTCACTGCTAGTCACGAATATACTCGTAGCAAGAGATTGCCAGTTTGGTACAATTTTGGTTATATTTGAACTGTATCGTAATATAATGCAAAATAAATTGAAAGTACAAATGAAATCACACATTTTATAACAGTGAATGTGTCACTACAAGATTCGTCATCGTTCTAAAAGAACAAGGAATATTATATAGAATGCCTAAAATTCTCATGGCAGTGAACGTGTTAACCCTTTGCACTCGAAAGGCGACTCCCAGTCGATTTGATACAGCAAAATTATAAACTTTGGTATTTACCATTAACCTTTGTATACTGCATCAATACGTGAAATATTAAAAGAAAATAACTTTGGTACCTAATTTATGTATGATTTCTAGTTACATTCATTTTAAAGAATGTCGTCTACGTCTAATTAGAAAGTATAGAATACTTCAAGTGAAAAACGAGTGCAAATTGTTTTTAATAATTCCACTTCTTCTAAACTGTATCACAAACTCGAAACTTTTCGGAAGAAACTCGCAAAGATTTTCAAATTGAAATTGGTTCCACTTTCTACTTGATTCTGTTTAACTGGAAACTCAAAAACTGGGAGATACAATGGAAAAATAATGGAAAAACCGAACGTGCCGTGGCGTTTCTAAAAAGAACGTCCGAATCGAAACGAATGAACGCGTTAAGCTCGGTCCTGCCGTTGAGCCCTTTCGACTTCCTTGTCCCCTAATCCTTTCTCCGTAGCGAGCGGGCGCACTTTGACCGAGGAAAATAGTTTCCCCTTTCAAGTATAGACGCGCTTATCAGCTGCGACCGAAGTGGGAAGAACGAAGCGGGTCACCGTTGGACGTGGAGCCGAGGAATTCGATTAAAGTTACGCCGAAAGTACCGCGTTGGATTTCGACGAAACTTCCGTTCCGCGACTTAATTAGAAGTAATTATGGTGTACTTTCGTCCGACCACTTCGAGCATTGGAAAACTCCTTGGTACTTAATTTCGATGTTAAACTAAATTTTTAATCATTCCAAATCGTAACATGTATAATTATGGATGACGATTATAATTCCAGTAAACGAGAATTAAGAAACCTTCGTTATTTAATTAATTAGAAGTTCATCTCCTTCGTGATTAGAAGTTAAAACAATTAATTAGAAGTTAAAACTCTTTTATATTCATATTTCGATGTTAAACTAAATTTCCAATCATTCCAAGTCATAACATGTATAATTATGGATGACGATTATAATTGAAGTAAACGAGAATTAAGAAACCTTCGTTATTTAATTAATTAGAAGACAATCGACGCGATTAACCGATTGAAATTTCGGTATACTTTCGTCCGACCGCTTCAACCATTGGAAAACTCCTTGGTACTCATATTTCGTTAAACTAAATTTCCAATCATACCAAGTCATAACATGTATAATCATAGATAACAATTATAATGTCAATAAACGAAAATTACAGAAACCTTCGTTATTTGAATCAGAACTGTAGAAACACTTCTGCGGCGAACGCGTCGGATTTAAATGGAAAATTCTGTGCGCGTGATAAATTCGAAAATATCGGGCCAGAGAAATTGGATTGTTCGCGAATATAAAAGGAAAGTTCGGAATCAACGCTGATAACTAGTTGGAAATTGCGAGGAGCGAGGGACGAATCCATGAAATCGGTTTTACGATGTTTCACGGCGGTGAATTTCGAAAGTTACGGCGTGGCCCGTGTCGTTCGACGTGAAACTTATACGCTCGTCACGAGCGTATGAGCACGGTGCTGCGAGTAATAAAATTCCAAAGGACTTCGGAACCCGTGGCGCGGCAGCCCTGACGGATCCGTTAAACGGAAGTTATAAAGTGCAACGTAGAGATTTTCCGCTTTGTTTGCGATACGCCGATGCTCGCGGGAGAGGGCGATCTCGTTGCAGGGCAGTTTGAAAATTTATTAAATGGCCGCCCTTCGTGAACGGTATTTATAGACTCGGGATCGATTTTATCAACCCTTGCGACATTAACGAGCGATCAGTTCGCTCCGGGTCGCTCAACTCGTCTAAAAAACCAGTGTAATGAAGCTTCTTTGTAGTATAAACGAAAAGAGACAAGATCACGGCGATCGAGAAGCCTGAAATGAAATCCTAACCTCTTTTAGTTCGCGTTCGACTGCATCGCCAAGAGTAAAATCATCGATGAGAGCGACTTTCGTCGAGGAACGTATAAAAGAACGTACCGCGCCGTCGAGTTCTGTCTGTTCCGCGAATAAGTTTCATTTAGTGCTGCTCCCGTTAAGAGAATTTCCCTAATTAAATCTTCAGCCGACCGGTAATGGATTCGCGGCCGCCATTTTCCAACGACCGATTACATTATCGAAGGGAGAAAGGGACGCGGCTTCGATATGACTCCCCGGAGCATCGAAAAACGGGTCGTGCCGTTAAGTTCCACTCGTTTCGCCGTTAATTTCGACCCGGGATCGCGCTGCTCGAAAGATTGTACGCGATTAAACCCCCAAACGAGCCGTGAACGCTGCGCGCCATGGCCGCCATTTTAGAACGGTTCGGATAGTCACGTGACTGACGTAATTCGTGTAATCCTGTTAAAATGATGTTAAAATAACGTGTCTTAGGTTCCTTATTTTGCAATTGTTGATGTTTTCGAGGTATTAAATATTCGGAATGATTTTTTCTACAATGTTTATGAGAATCACGTGTCAATGTTGATGCTCGGTGATTCTAGTGTTAAGGAGAAATGTTAGTATTTCTGCCGAAGGTATCATAAGACACTCGAAATATTTACTTGAAATTATTTTCTCGCTTTAATAATTCTTTGATGAAATTTTCCATATTTCCTATAGTTGATTTTGTAATTGTTATTCGAGAAGTTGATAAGTCAATTCTGAGTATGCGACTGAACTTGGAAAAGAATAAATGATAGATTTGAAAGGTGTCTTTTGTATTTGGTAGAAATAGTGTTAATAGGAAAATGATATTAAATTCTTCAACTTAAGGTTAATTAGAAAATGATATTGAATTCTTCAACTTAAGATTAATTATAAAATGATATTGAATTCTTCAACTTAAGATTAATTAGAAAATGATATTGAATTCTTCAACCTAAGATTAACTATAGAACTAATTATAACCTAAAACTTCGAAAGCTATCTTGTATTCAATATAAATAGTGTTAACAATAAGAAAATGATATTGAATTCTTCAACTCAAAATTAACTAAAACTAATTTTAACTAAAAATCTCGAGTTTTTTTTTTGACATCTCGATACAGTGTTAACTCTCAACTCTAGAATGGTTGAGAATTTTCTTTCCAGAAATCGTATCGATTTCGCAGATTTTCCACGAGTCCTTTAGAAATCTTTCGACGGAAATGGCGCAGAATTTCGGGAGGTTCCAGATTGCAGGGGTAGCGTTCGCTTTATTTTCGTTGACCAAAAGATTCGCCGATTCATCGAGCATCTCTTTAACGGGGCAGAAGAGGCCGCGGAGATAAAGAGACACGGCGAGGAATCAGCGTCGATAAAGCCCCCGTCCCGGTCGGAGATAATTTCGACGGGCCGAGCGCGCCGGTAAGAAGAGAAACGGATAATTGGATATCCAGGAATCGAGGTCGAAGTCGAACCGCGTTTCAGCCGGTGAGGCCCCCGACTGAAAGATCACGTTAATTAACCGGCTACGAGGGCACGCTCGAGCGGACGCGGACGGCTTACGTCATTCCGGGCCGGCCATTTTCTTTGCCTCTCCTCTTCGCCCATTTTGCATATGGCCTCGCTGAGATCGCGCGCTGTCGATCGTTGCTTGCTGTTTCGATGCTCCATGTGTTGATGCCTTATATGAAATTTAATATTGAATTTTAAATTTTTGTTATTTCGTTCGATCGAATTGCGACTGGACGCCTCTTTCTTTAATTTCTGTTCGATTTCTCGTTAAATTGGTCTCATGAAATGTTGACTATATCAGAAGCTGTATTGGGTATTTTTGGTAGAAACCTCTTGGAGCGCGAAGAATTAAATCATAGAGAACGATGTAACGTACCGATCTCACTGTTCGAACAGTAAAATCGTTCGTAACTTCGTACTCCAGACACGGAAGTTCTCAGCAGAACGCCGACGTTCGTCAGCGAAGGGTTAATGCCTGAGAAACTTCTGACATTCCTGCGGAGCGACGATTAAAATGAAACAGCCTCTTTCTTTAATTTCTGTACGATTTCTCGTTAAATTAGTCTCATGAAATGTTGACACTATCAGAAGATGTATTGGGTATTTTTGCTAGAACGATGAAACGTACCGATCTCTCACTGTTCGAACAGTTAAATCGTTCGTAACTTCGTACTCCAGCCGCGGAAGTTCTCAGCAGAACGCCGACGTTCGTCGGCGAAGGGTTAATGCCTGAGAAACTTCTGATGTTCCCGCGGAGCGATGATTAAAAGTACGATTTCGCCGTGGCGCGTCAAAGGAGAGCGTGTCCTTTGAATTCGCATGGCAATCCCGCGGCGCGCCGTTTTTATCCGACCGATCCCTGTCCCCGGACGCGCGCGGAACTGAAAAGAACCGTTCCGTTGCTCCGATTTTCCTCCCCCTTTTTTATTTTTCCGCTGATCAAAATGGGAAGAGTGGCGTTCCCCGGCGATCCCCTTGTAACGGGGCGTGCCGTTTTTGTCCCCGTAATTTCTGCCCCCTTTCACGGACGGCATAGAGACCGCCGTTTCCTCATTATTGTTCCCCCGTCTCCGATCGCGATTCGCAATCCACGGAACGGAGAAAGGGGAAGAGTGCGGTGAAAAGAATTTCAATGAAAGTTCCTTCTAAATTGCGCCCGCGACCCGTTTTAATGGAAAGATTCCATTCGCCGTGGGTCGTTGGGCCGCGGACATTTTATTTCCCTTCGGTTTTTTATTATCCGAAGTGTTACAGTGAACGTCGCGCGGCGCGGTTTCCGATTGCGGCTCGATCGTGGCTCTCGCGCGGGGAATACCGAGCCGGGCGACCCTTGACCCATCGAATTACCTTGTTTGTGTATTTTCTTCTGCTGTTCGTTACTTTTTAACGCGACCGCCATGAAAATTTCTAACGTTTTCAATGGTAATACTTGTTCCTTAACACCTTAACGTACTAGTTAGTTTCGTTACTAAGGTACAATTGGTTCAATTCAAGGTTCAATTCAAATGGTACAATTGTGATACAAATAAATATAGAAAAAATTGTTGGTAGAGGTTGCAATAAAATAGAATGTCATTGTCAATGGAATGGGAGTCATTGAGATGTTACCTTTAAATGGTACAATTGTGATACTACAAATAAATATAGAAAATATTGTTAAAGCTGGTAGAGGTTGCAATAAAATAGAATGTCATTGCCAATAGAATGGGAGTCATTGAAATGTTACCTTCAAATGGTACAATTGTGATACAAATAAATATAGAAAAAATTGTTGGTAGAGGTTGCAATAAATCGAGTCTGACTCGAAATACGAGTGCTAAGGGTTAATAACAAAGTCAAATGATATTGGAGATAATTATTAATGGTTTAGTTAAATAAAACTTCGGTTTGCTAGAAATAGTGTTAACTATCTTCTGAATGTTTTCCATTGTTAGAAAAACTTTCTTTCACAAACTTTCAGTAGGACGCAGGTTCCATTATAAGTTGAAATGGCCATCTGCTATGAGAAGGTTAATTATCACGCGTCTCGCAGCCTATTATCCAGAAACGGTTATGGCGCCGTTAATGGGACGCGCGTTGCTTTCCTCGGGTTCTCACGCAGCCGGAAAGCGGAGCTCGAAATACTGCCCGACCATTCGTTAATTAATTCCTCGCCTTTTTGCTTTTATAAATTACTTTCGATCCTACTTCCGTTTCTTTCTTAATAGAAACCGAGAACGCTTCTATGAATATTAACACGTCGCGTACCGGAAACGAGAAATCTCGTTTATTCTATAAAGACACTTAGCTGTGCAACTTCGCTAATTACCGCAGCATTGAGAGAAATATAAAATTTCATTCGAATTGATTGTCTATTTAAGATATATTACACAACAATATATCTGAGCTTTTCTATGTACAGTGATATAAGTTGACCTCAGTGAAAATTGCCATCACAATTCAGTTTTCTGAAAATTGCAATTTCAATAAAACCTGCAGTTTCATGAATAAGAATTTTTTCCCGATTTCCAAATCTCGCAGTAATTAACCAGCGCAAAATTTTCCTCTTATGTAAAGCTGCTTAGGATTCACTGTAAAGGATGGAGATTTGTAAGACGAAAATTTTTAAGGAATCTGTAAGGAAAAATTTGTAAGGAAGGCAGCGATGAATGCAATCATCAATGGAATTTTCCGTATTTCCTGTTGTATTTGTCGCTATTAAAAATAACACTTTTCGGATCAATTTTCTGCTTCGCTCGCAACGACGTTGGCAATAAGGGTTAAACTAACCTAAAGACTCGAAACCGATTAACCTGTTAACCGCGGAATTTCGTTTGAAAAATCTCTTATTTCGCGCACAATCAAATAAAAAAATGACGAATCACATGTTTATCCGAAAAAGTAAAGAATTCATTGTTGAAAGGATTAGTATCATTTCAAGATTCAAGATGACGCGTGTACTCGTCGAACGCAGTTAACTGGTTAAAGGATAATATAGGAGTTTAATTGGTTTCGAGTCCTTAGCTTAGTTTAACCCTTATTGTGAGCAACGCAGACAATTTATCCGAAAACTGTTATTTTTATACAGGATATAATATAAGATAATATAGTTGATATGACGTTAAAACAAAAGAAAACGAAGAATTTGATATTTGCTTTCACATGATACCACGGAAATTCTCTCCCGATTTTCAGGAAGAGATGGAGGATCGGCCTCGAATCTCGACGCTGCTCAACAGCCTATCGAATTACAGCAACACGATTCCAGCAGCGACCGATCCGGACGCGAAACCGCCGCCGGTGCAAGGCGGCGCGCGGATGGGCACGCTGATCGGCGTCTTTCTTCCGTGCATCCAGAACATCTTCGGCGTAATCCTGTTTATCCGTCTGACGTGGGTGGTCGGCACGGCTGGCGCCATACAGGGTTTCTTCATTGTACTCTGCTGTTGCTGCGTGGTGAGTAATCGACTCGGAATCCCCTCGACGGGGGACGGGAAATCCCCCGGGAAAATGAATCGTCCTGACTCCTACCGGCGTTGTTTCTCGTTCGAACGGAAAACAGAACTCTGCGCAGGAAGATAAATTGGGAACGATCGCGAACAGATATTGTAGATGTTTTTTCTATTCACTTTTGGAATATTTCGAATCAACGTGTCTTCGTTTCGTTCGTTCGCTTTTCTAACCGCTCAACGCAGTTTTTTTTAAAGAAACTGGCGAAAAAGGATAATTTTGATATACTGCGCTTTTGTTCCATGGGAAAAGGCTGTGTTTTATTCTTGAATAAATGAGTGTTACAGCTTACAATCCCATAAATGAGAAATATCGATAAAGCGATTTTTTTCTTTGCTTTCGCATTGTTATTTTCATAGTTTTCATACTTTTCGAATTTTACGAATTTTTCTTGCTCGCTGGCGTTTCTGGTATACTGTGCTTGGAAATTCGAGTTTCATTGGGGTATAATTTGCGTACGTTTTGTTTAGACTATGTTGACTGCGATCAGTATGAGCGCCATCGCGACCAATGGCGTGGTGCCTGCCGGCGGGTCCTACTTCATGATATCAAGAAGCTTGGGCCCCGAGTTCGGCGGTGCTGTGGGGATGTTATTCTACACGGGCACCACTTTAGCCGCTGCTATGTACATCATCGGTGCCGTGGAGATTGTCTTGGTAAGTCACTTCCAATGTAGAATTACGCGGTGAACTTTTTTAAACGTCTGATTGTCAAGATCTAAACGAACAGATAGTAGTTTCTTTAGGAATAATAGAGTAAACTGTAATAAATATTCGTGAATCTAGAGTTAAGGAGATATTTTGTAGATGTTGGTGGAAATTCTATTTTTCTTTGCTATTTTTTGAACCCCTAATTATCAAGATCGAAAGGAGCAAACATCAGTTTCTCTAGGAATGACAGAATAAATTATAGTGCTATATTCTAGGAACAATAGAGTAAACTATAATTCTATATTCTAGGAACAATAGGGTAAACTATAATTCTATATTCTAGAAGCAACAGAATAAACTATAATTCTATACTCTAGGAACAATAGAGTAAACTATAATTCTATATTCTAGAAGCAACAGAATAAACTATAATTCTATATTCTAGGAACAATAGAGTAAACTATAATAAATATCCGAAAACCTAGAGTTAAGTAGATATTTCATAAATATTCCTGGAAATTCTATTTTTCTGTACTATTTATTAAACCCCTAATTACCAAGATCTAAACGAACAAACGTCTCTCTAGGAACAACAGAATAAACTATAATTCTATATTCTAGGAACAATGGAATAAACTATAATAAATATCCGAAAATTTAGAGTCAAGTGGATATTTTCTAGACGTTGCTGAAAATGTGAAAACATTGTAACAGAAGAATATAAAATTAAATCTAAATTAGCACGATCCTCCTTCCCGTTTCAGACGTACATGGCGCCCTCGCTGAGCATATTCGGTGACTTCACCAAGGATCCGAGTATCATGTACAACAATTTCCGCGTGTACGGGACGGGTCTGCTAATGGTGATGGGCACGATCGTGTTCGTCGGCGTGAAGTTCGTGAACAAGTTCGCGACGGTCGCCCTCGCTTGCGTGATCCTCTCGATCGTGGCCGTCTACGTGGGCCTCTTCTACAACTTCTACGGCAACGAGTCTCTCAAGTTCGTAACACATAAAACAAACATTACCGGCTAACTAGAAAAACTATGGTACACCAAAATAAATCGAGTCACGTAATAAAAATCCAATCCACGTTGTACCTCGAGTATTGTAGGATTGGGATGAAACAAATTTATCATGAATAATTCATTAGGAAAAGGAAAAGAATTTATTTATCCTGTTCCTACGTTTACGAGAAATATTAAAAATTGTTAATAGTCCCTCAAGTTAGTGACAAATAAAACATACATTACCGACTAACTAGAAAAACTATGGTAGACAAAAATAAATCGAGTCACAGAGTACATCGTAACGAAAATCCAATCCACGTTTTATCTCGAATATTGTAGGATTGGAATGAAACAACTTTGTCATGAACAATTCATTTAGAAAAAGAAAAGAATTTATTTATCCTGTCTCTACGTTTGCCAGAAATATTAAAAATTGATAATACGCGAGTAATGTTTCATTTATGTTAAAAATAAATAACTGACATCTAGCTTTGTCGAATTCAGTTAGAAATTTTCATCGTGAGTCTGACACGTTATTTGAGGGCAAAGGGTTAACAGAGGTTTTTCGTTTGATCCAGAATGTGCGTCCTCGGTAAGAGATTGCTCAAGGACATCGACGTGTTAACGGATTGCAACAAGGACGTGAACGGAGCCCTGCATAAGCTTTACTGCGGAAACGGGAGCGTGCCTATTCACAAATGCGACCCGTACTACTTGAATCACAACGTGACGATCATCAATGGTATCCGTGGACTGGCCAGCGGTGTGTTCTTAGGTGAGTCGAAGCGTTCGCGCGTCGATTGTTTCGTTAATTCGTTTCGTTAATGTTAACCCCTTGGCGGACTATTTACTTCCGCTAATTAAATATTACACCGAAGCTTGTGTAATATTTCGCTATCAACCATTCGGAAGGAATGCAGCAAAATTTTCCATTCTACTTGAAGTGGAAATTTCGTTTGTATAATAAATTGATAATAGCAAAATAATTGTTTGTTTTGATCCGTGGGTAACAACATTGATTCTTGTTAAATTGATTTAGAAATCTTCATCACGAGTCTCACTCGTCATTGTACGACAAGGGGTTAAGAGAATTCTGCGAAATCTGGTTCACTGAATCTAGTTCGATGTACGAATACTTAGCACGTGTATAATATACCATGAGAAATCTTTCTGTAGACAACATATGGGACAGCTTCCAAGAAGAGAACCAGCTGATCGCCTACGGAAAAGACCCAGTCGACATCGATAATCTAGCGTCGACTAGCTACAATCAGATCCAAGTCGACCTGACCACTACCTTCACCATCCTCATCGGTATCTTCTTCCCTTCGGTCACAGGTAATTAACGGAATCACGGGAAATACAGTTACCAGCCTGTCTACGTCGAAGTCCCAAGTATAGCTGTTGCGAACTCGAAGATAAAAATAGAGGATAACTTGTTAGCGTGAAACGATATCTCAATATATCCTCGTTGTATTCGAAAGACTGATCAGCTAATGTCAATATCAGTTATCAACATTTTAAAATATCAATATCATGTAGTATCAACATTAATATCCAGTCATCAACATTTCAAAGTATCAATGTCATATAGTATCAACATCGATATCAGTCACCAACAATTCAAAATATGAATAGTATCTAATATCAATATCAATATCAGTCATTAACATTATAAATATCAATATCATTTTATATCAATAACAATATCATGTAATGTCAATATCAATTTCATCTCATATCAATATCAATTTCATCTCATATCAATAACAATATCATCTCATATCAATATCAATATCAATATCAATATCAATATCAATATAATCTCATATCAATATGAATACCAATATCAATATCAATATCAATATCATCTAATATCAATATCAATATCAATATCAATATCAATATCAATATCAACATCATCTAATATCAATATCAACATCAACATCAGTCACCAATTCAAAATCCAACAACAACCAACAACAACAACACCGTCGTTTCCTTCGCCAGGTATCATGGCCGGCTCAAACAGGTCAGGCGACTTAGCGGACGCCCAGAAGTCAATTCCGATCGGTACGATCTGCGCCATATTGACAACCTCAACGGTCTACCTCTCCTGCGTGTTGCTCTTCGCTGGCACAGTGGACAATCTCCTTCTCCGTGACAAATTCGGCCAGAGTATCGGTGGCAAACTGGTGGTAGCAAACATGGCCTGGCCGAACCAATGGGTGATCCTGATCGGTTCGTTCCTGTCTACCTTGGGCGCTGGCCTCCAGTCACTGACAGGCGCTCCTCGTCTTCTCCAAGCCATCGCCAAGGACAGCATCATCCCGTTCTTGACGCCGTTCGCGACAAGTTCGAGCCGCGGTGAGCCGACACGAGCCTTGGTCTTGACCGTGATCATTTGCCAGTGCGGCATTCTTCTCGGCAACGTCGACTACCTCGCTCCACTGCTGTCCATGTTCTTCCTGATGTGCTACGGGTTCGTCAACCTCGCCTGCGCCCTGCAGACGCTCCTCAGGTATGGCTACCATAGACTTGGCCTTTCTTGGGTTTGTCCTTGTTTCTAAAGCATTTGGGGAGTAGTGTTCTCTATCAAGTTGAAGTTGGAAAACTCTGGAAAACTTTTTGCAATTGAAGCTGACTTATTAGAAATATTCAACATTCTGACAAAATATAGACCACACTCCTCTAAACTACCAAGATCGAATCAAGGTTACTTTAAGAAACAATATCAGTTTATAATTGTAGCAATGCTCTGGAAAAGTCTGGAGCTTTAATTCTTTGTACTCGAAATTGACTCATTAGAAATATTCAACATTCTCTGATAAAATATAGACCACATTCCTCTAAACTATCAAGATCGAATCGAGCTTACTTTAGGAACTACAATATCAGCTGAATCATTGTATCAATGCTCTAAAAAACTCTGAAGCTTTAATTCTTTGCACTTGAAACTAATTCATTAGAAATATTAAAATTCTCTGATAAAATATAGATCACATTCCTCGGGACAACCAAGATCGAATCAAGGTTACTTTAGAAAAGAGTATCCTCTTAATAATTGTAGCAATGCTCTAGAAAACTCTGAAGTTTTAACCCTCGATCACCATAAATATTCAAACTTCCCCGACACATTCTCCAAATCCAATAAGCAAACATGAATTAAGAAACCTAACCACCATCCCCATCTCCAGGACACCAAACTGGCGACCGAGGTTCAAGTACTACCACTGGAGCCTCTCCTTCCTCGGGCTGTCCCTGTGCATCGCCATCATGTTCATGACCAGCTGGTACTACGCACTGTTAGCCATGGGGATGGCGGGCTGCATCTACAAGTACATCGAATACCGTGGCGCCGAGAAGGAATGGGGAGACGGTATCCGTGGTCTGGCTCTGTCCGCCGCTCGCTACTCCCTGCTGCGACTGGAAGAGGGCCCCCCTCACACGAAGAACTGGCGGCCGCAGATCCTGATCCTGGCCAAGCTGACCGACGACCTGGTGCCGAAGTACAGGAAGCTCTTCGCGTTCGCCAGCCAGCTGAAGGCGGGCAAAGGTCTCACCATCTGCGTCAGCTGCATCGGCGGGGACTACATTCAGAACTCCGGGGAAGCGTTGGCCGCCAAACAGAATCTCCGCAAGACGATCGTCGAGGAGAAGGTCAAAGGGTTCGTGGACGTCCTGGTCGCCAGGAACATCGTCGACGGTTTGAGCTCGTTGGTCCAGAACACCGGGCTGGGCGGAATGAAGCCCAACACCGTGATCCTCGGCTGGCCCTATGGCTGGAGGCAGTCGGAGGACGAGAGGACCTGGAGAGTCTTCCTGCAGACCGTCAGAGCTGTCGCCGCAGCGAAGATGGCGCTGCTGGTACCCAAAGGGATCAACTTCTTCCCGGACTCCACGGAGAAGGTGGTCGGCTACATCGACGTCTGGTGGATCGTCCACGACGGCGGCCTCTTGATGCTCCTGCCCTTCCTCCTGAAGCAGCACCGCACGTGGAAGAACTGCAAGATGAGGATCTTCACCGTCGCGCAGATGGAGGACAACTCTATCCAGATGAAGAAGGACCTGAAGAAGTTCCTCTATGACCTGAGAATCGAGGCGGAAGTCGAGATCGTGGAAATGGTATGTTCTTTCGTCCTTGATATGGGATACGATCGTCGATGTTTCTGAATGACAATGGAGGATTTTTGTGGTCCGTTGGTCATTGTTTGGAATTTCTTATGTTTTGTTTACTTTGATACTTGACTATCATGTTTTATTTACTTTCGTACGAGACTATCATATTTTATTTATTTTGATACGAGACTATCATGTTTTATTTACTTTAACACAAGACTATCATACTTTATTTACTTTGATACAGGACTATCATATTTTATTTACTTTAATGCAAGACTATCATATTTTATTTACTTCCATGCAAGACTATCATATTTTATTTACTTTAATACGAGACTATCATATTTTGTGTACTTTAATACAAGACTATCATATCTTATTTACTTTAATACAAGTCTATCATATTTTATTTATTTTAATACGAAACTATCATATTTTATCTACTTTCATACGAGACTATCATATTTTATTTACTTTAATACGACAGTTAGTTGAAGAACGTGTAATAGCTGTGCTTCGGTGTCTGATTTATTGTATACTCTACTACTTTGCTCTTTCTAATTCGTCTGTACTACTTCGTTCTGTCTGATCCGTCATCTGCCTATACCACTTTCTCTTATATCCAGTGTACCAAGTGTCTACACGCTGCTCTGCCTGACTAATCACATATTCAGACCACTCTCTGCTACGTCTGATTTATCATGCACACGCACCACTTATTCCATGGACTCTTATATCCTCTACCTAGAAAATGCGATTATTCTACTTACTCCGACTTTGACTCTGTTTCATCTGTAGTCTCTTATATCATTAACTTATACTACTCGTTTCACCTGAGATACCCTGTATCTGTTACCTCACGCACTCCAGAAATGTGTATCTTCTAACACTGTCATCCATTCCATTTTTCTTTCGTTCCATTCTACTTTATCTTTGATCTTACAGTTCATTGTATTTTCCACTATGCTGCTCCAATTGTCAATACCTGCACTGCCATTCCCGATTGCTTTCAGCTTTTGAAAGCCGACGAGAACGCAGAGATTAATCGATACGAATCTGTGTTTTCAGATGGACTCCGATATATCAGCGTACACGTACGAGCGAACCCTAATGATGGAACAGAGGAATCAGATGCTGAGGGACCTGCGATTGAACAAAAAGGAGTCGCAGGGCGTGGTAAGTAACGGGAACACGTTACGGGATCGAATATTTACACGACAATGCGATTACAATACGATCACACGTATCTGTACGTGTTATATACAAACGATACTATCTTTTTTTCTTTGGAACATGGCGCTCGACTTACGATACACGAACAAGTATTATAACTTAACCCCTTGGCACAATAACGTGAGATTCGTGGTGAAGATTTTTCATAGAATGTAACGGATGTAATTGTTACTCTATTGTTTCGGATTCAAATGGAATATTCTGTTATCAATTATTAGAGCAAATGTAGATTAGGAGTATACTTAGGATTTTTCTGTTTTTTCAATGGATTAGTTACTGAAGTAGTTGCATTGATCACAGTTGAGAAATAAATAGGACAAGGGGTTAATGGATATAATATAGACACGTTTGAAATAATAACTATTACAAAATGAACTTCACTGAATTTTTACTGTTACGTTACGATATGGAGTTTAGTTATTATTAGATATTATGGTATGAACAATTCTTTAATCCTTAACGGCTGAGAAATTTTTGTGATACTCGTACATAAAATGTTGTATTGAATATCTTATTGTCAGTGCAATCAACAAAGCAATGATGTAATAAGCTGCAATATTTGATAGAGAAATTTTGATAGAGAAAACTAGGTATTAAAACTATTATAATAAGTATTGTAATAAATATTATAATACCTATTCTAAAAATATTATAATAAATATTGTAATACCTATTATAGTACCTATTATAATAAATATTATAATACCTATTATAGTACCTATTATAAAAATATTATAATACCTATTATAATACCTATCATAAAAATATTATACTAAACATCCACATACTACAAAATAAAGAATTTCAGAAAAACTTAGATAGGGCATGGCACAAAAAGGATTGTGATACACTAAGTGCTGCATCCCCATAGCGGAGCCTTTCGGCCGTTAAGGGTTAAAAACATTGGCGCCCCCCTTCAATGGTCCGCGCCTCCCCTGGGAGCCGCGGCTCCCAGGTTGGAAGCCGCGGATGTAATATGTAAGCTAAGAAACACTGTTACGTCGGTACTGATCGATATGTGTCTGTTTTGTTGCGTGCTCGTCACGGATAAGGTGCAGACATTGGTGGACTTCAACGAGGTACCCGCCGAAGACAATTTACCTCTGGTTTGTCAGACAATTCCTCCGGAGTTCCTCCGTCTCTCTTCTACTCCTAATCTCTCATTGGTGTCACCGACACGCGTCCATCGTCCCCCCGAATCCCTAACAATCCATCACCCCATGTGTTTGCTCTCTTCATAACAACGCATCTCGTTTGTCGACCATCTCTCTCTCTGACAAACTCACCCCCAAAAAAAGAAGAAAAAGAAAAAGAATATGGAATCATTCACCCCTCGAATTCATTCAGCGAAACCGAGTTTGTTCGCTCGATCAATTAATACACCCTCATGGACACAGCATCGAATCAGATATACTCTTCCTAATCGAAGCCTCCACCAGTTTGCTTTCTCATGATTCACATGTTTATACTTTCTCCGTGTAACACGGACGTGTGTTGTGCGCGTGTCACCGTGGAAACGGAATTCAGTGAAATGAGATTATGTTTCGTGTAGTCCTCTGGTCAATTAGAGGAAGTTTGTGATTCATGTTTGTAACATTGATTAGTGGTTTACTTGATTTTTACTGAATCGACGGATTCACCGTGACACGTACACGTACAGGGTGTTCCAGGTGGATAGACTGACCTGAGAAGGTTACGTGCTAGTGGAATATTGCAGAGGAAAATGTTATTAACTTGTTATTACATGTAAAGCTAACATAGATCTTGCGAAGGTTTCAATAAACGTCGCAATGCCATTGTTGAAATATGCAGTCTTAATGAAGCAAAATATCAACTTATTATTATTCAACTATCTTCCCTTACGAACACTTGACTAACCATCGCAATGCCATTATAGAAATATGCAATTTTAATGAAGTAAAATATCAAGTTATCAACTACTGCCTTCCTTTACAAAAATTTCACTAAACATCGCGATGCCATTATTGAAATATGCAATCTCACTGAAGCAAAATCTTCACTTATTATTATTCAACTACCTTCCCTTACAAACACTTGACTAAACGTCGCGATATTATTGAAACATCTATCCTCAGTATTGAATCTACCTCGAAGAAGCCCTCGAACACCCTGAACGCCGACACTGCGGGAAGCATCCCCGATCGAGTCTCCAGTTTCAGCTTGATTGGCACGTTCATCCCAAATGAATGCTTACCATAGTGGTTTCATTTCGTTCGACAAGTCATCATATAGAGTGCTTTGACGCTAGAATTAGACGACCCTCGATCTCGATCATTTCGACCAGTCTCCCAGCTCGGGGCACACCGCGACGAGCAATATCCCCCTGACGATCGTCTCTCTCGTGGATGCAGGTGCAGGCGATCGTCGACCACCATCGCAACGTGGACGTGAAAGTGGCGACCAAGGTCAGGTTCCAGGAGCCGGGCAGCCAAAACGCTAATCTGACCGACGACGCGCTGGAGAAGCTCGTGCAGGAGAGCGAGGCCGCGAAGGAAGCGGAAGCCGGCGAGAGCAACCAAGCGGCGGGCGACGCGAAGGACGGCAACGAGGAGCAGGCCAAGCTGATTGGCGGCTCGCCGAAGCAGGACAACAAGGAGAACACCGAGAACGAGGCGAAGGAGAACGAGGAGAAGAAGGATAGCCCCGAATCGAAGAAACCCACCATTACACCGTGAGTCTATCCGCCGCTCGATGCAACTGGAAACATGTTGGGATGAAACGTTTGGAAAATATGACTGCTGTTAAGGCCACTACCGTAGTTTTAGTTTTGAACACCTTTCATCTTTCCTAAGAGTTAGCTGTGCATTTGGTAGTTTTAACAATGAGAGCCTTCGTGCCGTCGCAACTTGCAATCGTCGTCAACGCAATTCTGCGAAATCTCTTAGTATTCCAAATGTGAACGTTTCCTATCGCCGAAATGTTCGTCCGCGAAGGGTTAGAACAGCTGCTTCATATGTGGGATTGGAGGGTTTATAAGAACAAGGTTACGTGTAAAGTACTTCATTAATGCTAAAACTGAAACTATTCTATACCATGGATTCTCTAACTCGCCAAATTCCAAGTCACTGCTCGGCTTCTCCGCTGCACGCAAAAAGTCTCTCTCCACTATCACCCGGCCATTCCCACTCGCTTTTAATACTATTATTATAGATATTGGAAAGGTGGTTCTTCAGTAAAAAGAGAATTAGGAAACAATATGGATAACACGTAAAAATACAACTTAATACCACGAAGGCCAACATACGACTCTCTATCACGCACAAAAATGTTCTTCTCCGCTGTCTCTCACCAAAATGTCCTTCTCGCACGCATTCCCACTTGCTTTTGACACACACCCCCATTCGCTGTCTTTCTCACCCTCGCACCCTTCTCGCTCGCATCTTTCGTCCATAGTCAAAATTCACGCAGACGCTCTTCCTCGTATTCTTTCGGCCACTCGAGATTTTCTAAACGCAGTCCCGCTATTTTCCAAACATCCCGGCGCCGGTCCGTCGCAATACGACCTGATCGCCCTTACGCACGCGTAACGAACCATTCATCCTACAATACTTTAATCTACGCTAAATGATTCTAGAGACTAGAATAGTTAACAATGTTGTGATCTTAAAATTGCAGGGACGAAGGCGACGTGAGACGTATGCACACATCCGTGAAGCTGAACGAAGTGATCGTGAACAAGAGCCATGACGCTCAGTTAGTCATCCTCAACCTGCCTGGCCCGCCGCGGGACACCAAAATGGAGCGTGAATCAAACTGTATCCTTTCTTTGTCTTTCTTCGGTCCAAGTTATTTGTTCCTCATTATCTTTGGACACCGACTGGTTGCGATTGTTTCGCAATTATTGATATCTCAATAGCATCGAATATCTCAAATGACTTTGAAAATGAATAGCTTCCTCTGAATACTACAATGATTATCTGGAGAAACTGGAAATAATCTATTGTTACAATTTCTATATGGATCACGTATTAATCGTTATTAACCCCTTGACCTACACAGGTCAGTTTAAAACATTTTTGTATAATCAATATTTTCGGAGATATTCGACTGCAACGCTTCATAATTTCCACCCTGTATAATTCATTGAATCATGAAAATCTTCACCAGTCTCGCTCGTTGTTGTAGGACAAGGAATTAATCGATTTTGAATATTTTCCTTGACCGCCATAACGCAGACATGGAATTCCTGGAGGTTCTCACCGAGGGTCTGGAGAGGGTGCTGATGGTGCGCGGTGGCGGACGGGAGGTGATCACGATCTACTCGTGAACTAGACCGGGACGGACCGAAGTAACCGCCTCGCGAAAGCAAAAATCTAGTTTACTTCTCAAAGACCTAAACGACTTCACCCTAAGGAACACGTTGCTCTTGTGCCATTGTCTGAGCAGTCACTTGCGTTTCGCGTTGTGAACACACACACACACACACCAACACACACCGATACACGCGTACTTCCACACAAACAAACACAGACACACGCCTACACGCTGATCACCGTTGAACAACACGAACAACACAGTAACAAATCGAAAGGGAACGAAAGGAACAGGTAAAATGGGAAATTGAAAGAGACGAGGCCGAAAATGAAACAACAGGAAAAAGAATAGAGGAAAACCGTGGAGTCGACGCGCGTTTCGATGATGTTCGGCTCGGATCGAGCTGGCGTCGCTGAACGCCAAAAGTGACGATGCCAAAGGATTCAAAGTGTCTCCATGCTTCGCGAAACGACCGGCGAACGGAGGATGGATCGACGCGCAGAGGAAAGGGATGAGAAAGAACCGGTGGGAACGAGGAACGGGAGCCCGAGGGAAACGCGATGCGACAGGAAAGGATGAAAAGAGAAACGAGAAAGGACATTTTACCACACGCGGTTCGAACCCTAGGATTGTACCGTAGGATATCTTAACCTTATTTACGAACTCGTCCCTTTCGTTCGATGAGGAGAACCAGACACGCAAGGAGACAAGTGGTTTTAATCCGTATACAAAGAACACACGCGAACGAACGAGAAAAATCGAGAAAAGAGGGAGCAAAAAAAACACACAAACAAATAAACAGAAACCAAACATGTACGAACGAACCCAGAACATCTCACTCTATCTTTCTTCCTCTCTCACTCTCCCTCTCTCTGATCTATCTATCTCCCTATCTCTCAACACACACTCTATCCCTTTCTCTCTTTCTCTCCGCGCGTTAAACGAGAAAAGGAGGACAACAGGACATCGTTAATCGAGGACGTCATTCATTGATTAAAAAAAAAAGGAACCATGAGAATTACTCGGAGCACGTTTGCTCGTCGTGCGAGGAGAGTGTTCGACAACGAAGAAGAAGAAAAGAATGAAAAGCGTCGACGAGATAAACGAAAGTACGCCGAGAGTAATCTATATGAAATGAAACTCACGCTCCGATTCTAATTGAACAAACGTGCTACTCCCGTTCGAAACTGAAATCAAAATTTTTTGGTCCGAGGCTAAGATCGAAGCATCTACGAAAACCACTGCCAGAATACTTTCTAAATGCTTCGCGTTTAACCAAAGACGCGAGAGGCTCATTTTTCTACACGCATTGTCGTTAAATAGAGAGTATATATATATGAACATGATACACGTGTGTGTGTGTGTGTATATACACATATATACATATATATGTGTATGTACAGATATACGTATAAATAACGTGTATAAATATAGGAATGTCGCGTTACGAGAGGATTCTATGTATATGTGTATACGTATACATATATATATAGATATACACAGGCACGTCAGATACGTATAATTCTGCCGCTTATAGGTGAAAACTTAGGGTAGCCTAGGATAGAGCGCTCAAACTATGCCGACGTACGCGCACGCGTGCCGGAAGTTCGGCCCGTGAACGCTGCCGCGCGCGGACTTGGCTCGCGCGGACGACGAAGGACTTATTACACGGAAGCTCCTCGCGACTTCCGGTTCCCGCGATTCCTGGCTGGAAGGAGATCCCGCCGCTTCGGTCTGAACGCGGATGTTTATGCGCCTGCGTCTCGAGGGGGACGAACGTGCAACTCGATGATGTTCTCGCTTTGAGGATGTATGTTTGAATTGTTTGGATATATATTGTTATTGACGCGAGGCGGCGAGGAGAGTTCTATTGAGATTCGAGGGATAATATATGTTTGAATTGTTTGAATGTATATTGTTATTAGCTTGAAGGGATGATGAGACGGCTCTATTGAAATTCGAGGGATAATATGTGTTTGAATTAGCTGAATGTATATTGTTATTGGCACGAGGCGAGGAGAGTTCTATTGACATTCGAGGGATAATATATGTTTGAACTGTTTGAATGTATATTGTTGTTTCGGAAAGATGATAAGGACAGTTCTATTGAAATTCGAGGGGTAATATATGTTTGAATTAGTTGAATGTATATTGTTATTGGCACGAGGTGATAAGGAAGACAATTTTATTGAAATTCAAACGATAATATATGTTTCAAATATTTAAATGTATATTGTTATTGGCACGAGATGATAAAGAAGACAATTTTATTGAAATTCAAAGGATAATATATGTTTAAATTAGTTGAATGTATATTGTTATTGGCACGAGATGATAAGGAAGACAATTTTATTGAAATCCAAAGGATAATACATGCTTGAATTATTTAAACGTATATCGTTATTGGCACGAGGTGATAAGGAAGACAGCTCTATTAAAATTCAGATAATAATATATGTTTGAACTATTTGAATATACATTATTGATATTCTATTGGAAAGATAGTGATGAATATCTATGAGGAGGAATTTTTATTCGAGTCCTGGTAATAACATATGATTAAATTATTTATATGGTATTGTTATTATCTTGGCAAGATGATATACACACATATATATAGAGAAGTGGAATTTCTATTCAACTGAGTAATAATATATGTTTGAATTATTCGAATATATATTATTGTTAATATCACGAGAAAGTAACGACGAATATATACATTAAAGAGGAACGTTTATCATTCAGCCGCAGCGTTTGTACACGTTTCGCATAAAGATCCGCGATTCGACGATCGGTGACGATCCCCCATTCGTTCAGAAGATCCTGAGGGTTGCCAGGACGACGGCCGCGCGAATGGTCACCGGCGGCGTATTAAGAAAAGTATATTACTGCCACAGTCTTGATGTTAGGGTTACATTGAAAACTAAACCGTAGTTTGAACGAGTTTAACGAAGATCGTGACTTTGTAATTCTCGAGGACGACCCTGGAACGATGCTCGAAACACTTTCCCACCTCGCCGGTCGAGCTTCCGGTCGTTTTCGCTAGTCGCGCGAGCGGGCATCTTGGAAACTGAACAACTATAAACTCTCGACCATACACAATGAAGGAAACATAAATGACGCAAAGTTGGAGGATCGTTAAACTCGAGTACCGTTAGTTCGTCACACTGAAGTCTATTCGAAGGAAACACGCAAGATCGGTTCTGTGATTTCCAATCTCTCGTTTAAAGGAAAACCAGAGGAACAGGTTTTTCCAGTGTCGTTCTGGGGTTAACAATTCTAATTGTCGTATCGTTGTCTCAGAGATAAAAACAGCAATAGACCTCTAAACGTGTTAGGGAAAGTCTAATCCGCCTCGCAGCGACGTAACGATTTAAGGTTAACTATAACTTAGGATTCTTGTACAGAGATGTAGATCTATCGAGCCTACGAGGTACATATTACCGAGGAATTCTTAAGTATCACTTAATCTATCGGTAACGTAACCGTTAAGCGGAGTGCCGACACGCGAGATCGCGCGGGTGTATTGCGCGGGCAAGCGATCGCTCGAACGTTCCGCGGTTCACATTGATGTTATTCGATTCTCACGCCATCGGGACGCAGATGCTCCCCGTACAGGTGCACCATAGGGAACGAACGAAAGCCAGTTACCCGAGTATCTCGATTTTAAAGATAAATTAAGAACGTTCATTCTCGCTGACGGTTCTCCTTAGAAGGAATTTTATAAACGATTCTCTCCATTTAGAAACCATTTACGCGCGTCTCGTTCTCAACGCGCGCGCAACAGTAACATGCGATGTAGCCACGGTTAAATTTTTCATTTCGAATTTTTTATTACGAACGGACGCGAGGGAATATTAAACGCTCGGCTGCCCGTTCGATTTTAACGTAATCGTTCTCATCTCTCTTTCTCTCTCTATCTATCTATCTATCTATCTATCTATCTATCTATCTATCTATCTATCTATCTCTCTTTCTCTCTCTCCCTCTTTCTCTCTCGGAACAGTTCGAAGAGACAATCTCGCGAGAGAACCACTTCTCATCGTAACGACGCGAAGAAAAGCAGCAGGAAAAAAAATGTCCAAAAAGGAAAACAAAAGAAAAAGAAAAGTTAGAAGGATTAACGTCGAATTAACGCACAGATAACACTCTTCACCCCTTTTATACTTGACTAAATCGATCCCGAGCGTCCCCGCGAACGAAGGTTCGGCCAGCAGCGTTCCCGATCCGACCCGGAGTGCGCGCGAGCAACCGATCGACGAACCACGGCGAACGTTCACGCGTCCCCTTCAGGACTGAAGCTCGTTTTCCTTTGTCGTTCACCTTTATTTTTCTTGGCCAGTCGCAATCCGCCGACCTGTCGCGCGTCGATGACCTCGTCTTTGCTCGCGTTCCCATCGTCCAAGGCCTACCGACGACCTTGACCCTTATTTCGGCAACCGACGTGTTCGAGTTCGCCCGAATTTCTTGTAACAGACACGAGCCATGAAACGATTCTCTCGTTCGTGAACGAAACTATTACATTCTAATAGATACGAATATTTGTTACAATACATTGATGATATTGCGAACGTTATACTTTGACGATGTTACAGTTTCGATGGAATCTTATCAAATTCTCGCGAGTACGTGTGAATTAATGGTAAACGATTAAGCTCTTGACCTACAATATTATCAGACTCGTGAAAATTGTCAATCGAATGTCAGATGTCCGAGTGTTATTTGTTTTCTTTGAATATGAATTAAATATTACTTTTCTATTATCAATCAACCTTTACATAGAAGCATCGAAATTCTTTGTTCCAGTAAATTATTAGTGATAAAGTATTTGTATCGATCACAGAATGAATAACGGAAAATGGCTGCCGGTTGCTGACACGAGGGTTACGGTCGGCCATCGCCGTGACAGCGCGTGAGACGGATGATCTTCGTTTAACCGGTTAACCGGGTTCCGCCATTTTGTTCAGTCGCATCGTTTCCTCTGTTTCGTGAGAAAATTCGACTAAATTTCCTGTGAATTCTTATCGGATGAGATTTAAGACGTATCAACTTGATTTTTCTCGTTTCTACCGACAACGATTTCGAATGTTTCGTCGTATTAATTCTCGCGGGACAACCCGGTTGACGAGTTAACGGAGAATTACATTTTACTTACGCGACGAATAGGAAATATACAGACATATATATATAATAGGGAATTAACCGCGTTTCGTTATCGTTATTAGCGGACTGCGAATGTTCGCGCTGTCCCCAGGTGTCGGAATGGAATTTCCGGGAAGTAATATTACACGGAAACTTATTTTACAAAGTTCGAACGCACTGTACGCGACACGAAGATCCTGAGAAATGTTACTTTAACGTTTGTTTCGTCGTCGAATACATTACAAACGCATGAACATTCGCAGTTGTATCGTTAGGGAAGTTTATCGAGGTGAGAAGACGAAATGCAGACGGATTTCGTCCCGCTGTCACACCGTTCGGTCCCTCTTAACCGGACCGCCATCTTGGTTTTCCCCTTAACCGACTCTCATCGAAGGACAGCGTTAGCGAACGGTCGCGTTTAAGTGTCGTGTGCATGTCACGTTTCATGCACGGCCCTCGGCCGTGTTTCATTTAGATAGGCACTATCTAATACGTATATATACATACATATACATACAAATAAACAAATGAATAATTACCGTATCGTATGCGCGTGTATGTGGGAACGTGCAGCGTACGCGAGACGAACCAGAATTCACGGCGTGATCGGTAAACGCAGAATTCTCCGATTCGAAGGGAAAGCCAAACAGGGAAAATCGATGTCAGATCGAGCGAACATTCGCCACCAAAGAAATCGTGATACCAAAATGAAATTCATTGAAGTTCTCGCTGTTGAGAACGTTCGTATTGAAGCGTACGTGTAAAATTTCCGGTTTCATTAGTCGAACATTCGGCGCTGAGAGTATCTCTTAAGTTGGAAAGTGTCCGAACGCGTTCGGTTCGAACTGCGATCGGCCGTCGAGGACGGTGGAATCGATTATTTCGTCGTGGAGCCGTGACTTCCGGTTCACCGGGTCCGCGTGAAGCATACGCAAGCGCGTGCACGCGATTAAAATAGTTTATGTGCGAAGCGGGAGTCGAGAACCGACGAACCGAGGTCTTTTTAAAACTAGGAGTAACGACGTGACGCGGGTGACTTAACTGTCACCGTCGCTGTCTACTTGAATCGATGTCCGTGAACGCGTCACGGTTTCCGGGGAAAGAGTTTATCCAAAGCAGGAGAGGAGCCGAGCACTCGGGGAACCCCCGCCGCCGTTTGCGAACCGGTCGAGGGACGGGAGACGTTCTGAAATCGTTTCTTCGGCAGTGGAGAAGTCGCGACTCGGTGTGACGTCCGTTATCCTGACGATGTACACGGTGGTCCGAGAATATCGGTACGTTGCGGACACTCGTAAGAATGAAGGAAAGTGGCGTAATCGATATTTGGAGGTCCCGAAGCAGAAAGATCTCGCGATACGATACTTCAATCGATGAAACGTTTTATCTTTATCTTTTGCCATCGACGTGTACATCAATCTAGTCGCTTAATCTTGCTCCGTTCTGAGAAAAGTGAATTAACACAGCAATATGTACTTATTCCAAGCGTTCGAGTAGTTTTCCTCATTGGTCGTCGATAATTTTTAGAGTTGATTTGTGTCATTGTTCGACTTTCATTTTACCGCTGTACTTAATCGAAGGTGCTTGCATCCAAATCGCGAATTCCTTTGAAACTTCGAGCTCTGCTGTTTCTCTGAACACTCTGTACACGGTTGGATAAAAGGAGGCATTAAAATGAAAGTAGCAAATGGGACTGGGAGACGAAGCTGAGGGATCGTCCGAGGACAGGAAGCTGAGAACTCGGTGCCGAAGAGTCTGGTCTCTTTATCTACCTCATCGCCAGCGTGTTGTCGAAGAGGGCCAGCGATCGCGGAAGAGAACGGATCCACAAAAGCAATACAAACGCCAAAGAAAGGGAAGAGGAGACGAACGGAAATGGGAAAGACGAAGATGGATGCCCGAGGAACGCAAACGCACGGGTTCCGCGAGACGCTCACGCCTCTCTCGAATCTAATCTTATCGTCCACGATGTTGCGACATGTACTTTCTAATTTTAATACGTTACTCACTTGTCGATTACCATATATTTTATGTGTACTTGCCTATCTGATAGGCATCGGCACTGCATAGTTTATACGAGACATGTTGACTATGAGAAAAGTTTATTCGCGGCGTGGAATACGGAGAGGAAGATTCGCTCGGAGCTTTGCGGGACCGCGCGAATTGTTCGGGCTGCAGAGCTAGATAAATGACGGTGGAGAAGGTAACAATCGTTCTTCGCGATTCGTTGTATCTTTAGGTTCGTCGTGGTAATTTCAAACGATGAATTAACGCAATTTCGAACTTGGTCGCTTCCGATCTAAAATCGCTTGCCACCGCCGTGTTGTTTCAAGAGCCGCAGAACACGTTCAGTTTAAGTACTTGTATATTATATTTTGTATCGTACAACTGTGCTCGTTTGTAGACTATCGAGAAATATAACAGAAAGATAACGGTTATGTTAGTTGATCAATTTGAAATCGCGAAGCGGCGGTTGTCGTGTCTTCGCGGCGGCCATCTTTGAAATTGCGCTTCGGCGCGCCCGCCATGTTTACGCGGTTCCGCGAAGGCGACGGACGAAAGGAGAAGCTGTTCCACGCGAACGGGGAAAACTGCTGAGCGCGTTGTACATAAATAGATAGGTATAAAGGCGACGAGAGGAAATAACGAGAGGGAAGGAACCTTGAGGGACTAAAAAGCGAACAAACTATATTAAAAACGGCGGCGAAAAACGGAGGAAAACGACAGAGAGCTGGCGGAGCAAACGGACATCATTTTCATAGATCGAACCAGTATTGCAGTGTATTCTGCTGCCGCTTTAATATTTTACTATGTCGTATTTACTCGAATCGAAAAAGAGGACACGTTGACACACGACAGAACACGAGTACACACGCGAACATACACGAACAAACACACGATCGACCATATGTGCACATATACGATAGAGAGTCGGCGAAAAGATGAAAGTGTTTCCGTTTCT